TTACTATTCTGTGGTCTCAAGGATCTCAGTCTCAGTTGGGAGCAGACTAGTAAACCAACAAGAACAAGTCACAATATTAGGTCCTATAAATTGAAGTATGAACAAAAATCTGGAAGTAAAGAGAAGGGAGGGACTAATTCAGCCTTGAGAGATTAAAAACCACAGCACAAAAATATCTGATCTGTATTTATCTGAGCACCCAAGGACTGCAAGGGTATTCCCCCTGAGCAAACACTGTGTGCCAGTGGGGGTGTGTGAACGAGCACCGTGGTCCAGAGAACCCGGAGCGATTCATAACGGCTGGTGGGTGCACAGGGCAGTGGAAGGAAATCAGGGGCGAGGACGAGAGTCTGGTGCAAGTTAGTTTGGAGCAAAATACAGGTCAATGGAGCAGCCGAAAGAAGATGATGGTAATTGATGGTCAAACATTAAATAAGTAAAACCCCACAAGTCCACAGTGATGGTAAAGAGAAAAGAAGTACAAGAAGTACAGAAGACAAAGAAGGTAAATTACACCAGGAAGAAGCAATCAGACAAATCCAGAATGTGGGACGGCCTATGTGACAACTGGCCTAACCTGTTTAGAAATTCAATGTCATGGGGGGAAAAGTGAGATTATTCTTGTTTTAAAAAGGTAACAAAATGCAGTATCTGAACATTATTAGATCTTGATTTTGAAACTAATACTATAAGATAACCTTGGGAACTGTGGAAAAATCTAAATATGGACTGGATACCAGATGATATTTGGGAACTGTAATTTTCTGCAGTCTGATAATAGCTTTGGGATTACATAGGAGAGTATCCTTATTTTTTGTTTTTATGAGATACATGCTGAGCATTTAGGATGAAACATCAAACAACTTATTTTCAAATGGTTCAGCAAAATGTATATATACACATATGCAGAGGCAAAGTATTATGGCAAAAAGTTAACAACCACTGAATTTAAATGTGTAATCATTGTACTTTTCTATCAACTTTTATGTAAAATTTCCATAATAAAGAATTTTGAAAGAAAAAAAATGTAAGGTCAGATAACAGAGGGTTTGCTATGTGTTTCTTAGGATTTTGGACCTTACTCCTGAAGGTTTTGAATGGGTGGTTAACAAGATCAAATTTACATCTTAGAAAGATTATTGGCTTAATGCACTCACTCAACTAGCATTTACTGACCACCTACACCAAACGTTGAGTGAACCCTGAGCTAGGTGCTGTAGGGGAAAGGCGCTGCTGGCTGAAAAGTATTTACCATGTAATTGAGGAGGTGAGACCCAAAACACGGAGCACAGGTAGAGCGTTCTTGTCAGAAGCAGTGATGGGGAGAGCTGGGGAGAGCTGGGGAAAGTGCAGGTGCATGTAACTCCAGGTACTACATGGGGTTCCTGGTCAGCAATACAGCCACAGCATCACCCCAGAAAGGAAGAACCCGCAGGCGACAGGTCTCCCATCAGTTCTGGCCCCTGATCTCTCCTTATTCCTTGATGGCAGAACCTCACTCCCGTGAAACGCGGAGAAGTGTTCGATTCCTTGAAGCAGAGTGTAGGAGTGTCCCCCATTTCTGGCCCAAGGGACCAGACTCAGTTCCCCTGAAATCCACCAGGGACTCCAGGCAAAGATTTTTCCCCCGATAAAGACAGAGACCCATGAGAAGACCCCCTTCCCCTTCTTCCTGCCTGCCTTTAAGTGCAGCTGGTTGAGGACGTGGTGCCTGGAGCTGGGGAACCATGAGGGGAAACTCAAGAGAAGGGAGAGGGGGAACCAGAGTCCTAGCATCACTGTGCCACTGCAGCAAGCCTGGAACCTTCTATAACCAGACTTCTTGATGTGGGAGAACTTTTTGTTATCCTTTCTCCAAATCATTCAGATTCGAAGATCGATGCTATAGCCCCGAACCTCCTCATCCTGCCTCCATGTGCAGGCAGGTGTGTCTAGAACCAATCTTGACCCTAGAACAGAGCAGTCAGAGGAAGTCGTGGCCACGTTCTGCATCACCCAGCCCATTGGGTCAGCCCTGCCCCAAGTCGAGCTCCGACAGCAGCTGCAGTGTAGGATGGTCAGAAAGCTTCATGTTCACTCGTTGACTCTGACTGGTCAGCCGTGACTGTCTGATGAGCCGTGCTGAGGGCTCTGATCCACTGTGTAGGGAGTTAAATACAGGTTCTGTGCAAAGCGCCTAGATTCCTCGTTCCAGCTAACTGCTCGGGCCCGTGTTTACCATCGCACACACGTGTGGAAGGAGCCTGGAGTCGGAAGACCTGAGTTTGGGTCCTGGCTCAATTGCTTACTGGTTTTGTGATTTTGGTCAAGTCATTTAACCTCTCTGGGCCTTCCTATGGGATCACTGTTATAACTGAGATCATGTAAGTAAATGTGCTTTGTAAACTATGAAGTGTCACACAGGTGGGAAGTATTTTGTCTTATATTTGTCAAACTTTAGCTGAGGACCAGGTTAACAGGAGGCAGGGAGAGGAGGAAGGAATTCAAGGTTCCAGCCTTGGACAGTGTGTAACTGAGCACCTGACCAGGTGCTAGTCTGGAGTACAGAAGTGGGACTAACATGAGGTCAGTTTCAGGGGAAAGTCAATCAGCAGAAGTGAGTTGTGAGAGCGGATCGTGAAACAGAGTTGGAGAAGATTAGAAGAGATGCTAATGACAGAGACAGAAACCAGACTGGATGTGGGGTTTCCTTTTTTATTTTTTAACTGCCTTGACACCGGTGGGATATGGCCCTACCCAGTAGTGAGGGAGGATCACCAAGGCTGAGATCTCAAGGGGTGACAGGGCAGAAGGAGCTTCCAAAATCTTCAGAGGGGCAAAGGAGGGTGAAGTCCCCTCCCTAGATGAGGCCACCCAGGGCTACGAGCCTCCTTCCCTTGTGGCAAATCAGTGGAGCAGACCAGAGGGGAAGCCAAAAGCGCACGGAGAGACAGTCAGAAGTTGACAGAGTGAGCTAAGGGGAGCAAGCCTGTTGATTTTTCCCTCTCCCTCCTCTATGGCATGGCACAGACCTACACCACTTCCAAAAAAGCCCAACAAGTAACGAGTTAAGAAATCAGAAGGCCTTTTGTAATAAAACTAGAAGGTGAGAAAGGGACAAGGGACACTTAGCATAACAAGAATTACTCTCTCACTCTCCAGGTTACTAAAAGCCTCAACTGCCTTGTGAAGTCTGACCTAGAGGCCAGAGAGTGAAAGGAGGCTTCCTTTAGCCCCCACATGGATCTAAAACATGTGCCAGCCCCATGTAGGAAAGGGGAAAAAAGAAAGACTGACTGAAGACCCCAGGCAAAGGCTGAGAGGAGGTTGAAACCTAGGAGGAGGGCAGAATTCAAAGCCGCATTTGTCCACAGCTGGGTCGCTAATGTCTACGACAGAGGCAGGCACGCGTAGGAGGCAATGAGTGAATGAGCAGGTGGGGCGGTGGGGAATCCCAATCAGTGGGGTTCTCCTAGGAGCTCAAGAGCGGGGTGTGAAAGGGGGCCTGGGAGACGGAGGCTCCGCATCAGCGAGGAAGCAAGTGTGCGAGCAGAACCAGAGCAGGGCAGAGGGCTCCAGTCCGTAACCCCGGGGGGACTCACGGGTGCTCACGCCTGAAAGCCAGGCCGCCCTCCACATCCTTTTGTACCCCACGTATCACGAAGAGAGAGGCTGGGGCGGGGGCGGGGAGGGAGGCTCGGTTGAAAACATTCAAAATCGGGAGATTCTACGTGAAGTTCCTCATCCCCCGCCACTCCTTTTTGAAGATGGAGCGACACCTGGCCTGCAGGCCCCCAGGTGAACACTCAGGCACTGCAGAACAGCTGCCCGAATTCACACACAGACTCCGCCTCCTCCCGCCGCTTCCGCACACACACACAGGTAAGGCCACGCAAGGACATGGACAGAAGACAACCCTTTCTAAGCAAGAAGAGAGGCCTTCAGAAGAAACCAAACCTGCCGACACCTTGATCTCAGATGTCTAGCCTCCAGAACTGGAAATAAATTCCTGTTGTTTTAAGCCAACCAGTCTGCTGTGCTTTGCTATGGAAGCCCTAACAAACTAACACAGACGGCCTTCTGAATCAAGCACGGGCCCCTTCACAAACCCAATTACCAGCCGAGCCCTAAGCCATCTGAATATACACCATGGTTTAAATTCATTCTTTCATTCAACATCTGAGCACCCGTTATGCCCTGAACCCTGCACATTTACTGATTCAAGCCCAACATCATATAAACTAATTTTATTTTCTTGTCATTTAACAACTGCCTTCTATTTTTTTCCAACCATCTTTTGCTGGTAGCTTTATGTGGCATTTGGTTGTCTTCTGCTGCTTCTCCTGGTGAATGGAAAATGGTCCTTGTTATGAATCTTATAAACAGCACCAGAAACCCTAGTTCTCAGCGCTGGCTGGATATCAGAATCACCTGGATGTTTTTAAAATACCCAAACCTGGATCTATCCGATTCTCATTTAGTCAGTATTTGTGTGGAATTCTGCCAGTATATGTATATTTCTTTAAGCTTCCCAAATAATTCTGATGTGCAACCAACACATCACAACTAGAGCACTGTTACTCTAGTGTGAAAGGTCCTTGAAGGTCACCTCCTTTGCTACTCAAAGTACAGTTTGCAAACCACCAACACTGGCATCACCAAGAAGTTTGTTCAAAATGCAGAATCTCAGGTTCCACTCCAGACTCCTGGAGCAGAATTCATATTCTAACAGGATGCCCCACACAATTCAGAGGCACTCTAAAATTTGAGAAGCACTGAATTTCCACTAGAATTACCCGGAAAGCTTTTTATAACCAAGACTACCTGGCTTCTTTCCAGAACCACAGAATCTCAAATCTCTGGTAAAGCCTGGGAATCAGATTGGAATGTTATATATTGTTGTGCAGCTAGTCACACAAGGGCCTGAGGCTTCAGAATCACTCACATAGGCCACAGTATACGTCCCCTCAACTATCCAGCCTCTCCTTAACCTTCCAATTCTTTTTTGAAAATGAAAAATATAACAGATACAGGGTTTTATTTTTCCATCATGCATGCAAGCTTACAACTATTTATACTGTTTTGGAACAAAAAATAATTTCATTATTACCAGGGTGTCAAATTACCAAGTAAGACAGCCAGTTACTGATCACTTTTGGGAGGTTATTTTCACAGAACATAGCAACAATTTCCGAATTATACTTCCAGAGTATTAAAGCCCAGAGTTATACTATGAGACCAGGACAAGCTGATGACAATTCTAATAGTCACACAAGTCTCCACCTTACACAGGAAAAAAGGCTGATATTCTGGTGAAAGGTCTCAAGTAAGCCCCTTATCAAAGACTGGCAAGTCTCTGAAAGAGTGTACAACAGGATGGTCTCTCTCTCCTTTTGTGGCTGCAGGGAAAAGGCAGCACCCCCGACAGCTCCTTTTGAGACTTGTTAATTCTGAAGACTTTCAATTCTAAGACCCGTCTCTGGAACTTCATTAGTTAACATGAAAAGCAAAAAGCAGACCTGATGTGATAATGACAGTGCACCCCACCACCATCACCACCAAAGGGAGTCCCATTCTCCCAAAGCAGTCCTGGTTGAACTGGCACAGTGTCTTGGACTTTCGATAAGCAATACAGGCGGGGAGAGCGAGATACAGATGAAACCAGGTGGATCACAATTGATAACTGACGTAGCTAGGTGATGGGCACACGGGGTCCTGGGACCATCCTCTCCATTTCTGTGCATTTCTGAAAATGTCCGTAATAAAGAGGGAAAAGCTTTAAAAAATTTTTTTTTAAATAGCAAAAAAAAAAAAGCGACCTGTACAGCTCTATTTTCCCATTATGCAAAAAATGGGGTAAGTGGTAAGATTTACTTAGAGACAAAAGAAGCAGCACATAGCATTAATCTTCCACATACACAAGGCCATACCTAGAACAAAAGAGAAAGCATCTGAAGTAACGTTATTCTGTTTCGGGTTTGCTTCTGTGATTTATAAAGGCTACTAATGACAACACAGAGATTGGACAAAACTTCGGGAATGTCCTCGCCTAGGCATCACATTTACCCATAACCCCTTTAATTCTCCCATCCTCTCCCCAGGAAGTTACCTCCCACCCCCACCCCCGCCCTCCATCACCAAGACACGCGTATTCTCCCTGAGGTTTCTCAAGCCATTTCCATCTGATTTTCCAGGACCACTCCCCACCAGGCTCGTTCTTGCTCTGCTTTTTGCTCCAACTTCCCTGCCCAAACACCCTCTCTACATCTCTGAGTCAAGACCTCCCCAGCCCCTGGGGAACTCAGAACAAGGTCTTCCATAAGGAAAGGGAAGTTGGGGGAGGGCAAGTGTAGACACAGCCCTACTTCCCCACACCCAGCGATGAGAGGAGGAAAGAGGGCACAGACAAGCTTGGGCAGGGAGGGCCCAGCTCAGCTTTTACACCCACCGGAAATAAGCCTTGGAGATCCAGAACAGACTCTGTCCACCCGCATCCTCATGCCCTAGGAGAGGGCCTTGGGATCCCCCATACTGGAGACTACAGCTTATTCCTATGGGTATGCAAGGTAGAAGCAAAGAGAGCAAAGAGCTGTGGAAGGTGGGGAAGCCAGGGAAGGAGGGTCTAGAGGGCCAGAGGCTACCACAGAGGAGGGACCAGCAGGAGGCAACTGGGTCTTAAGGGGCACAAAAAAAGGTCAGAACAGAGTTAACACGAGTCCGCAACACTGCTGCCTCGGGCTTTATCATTCCTGCAGATGCACAACCATGCAAAGAAATTTCAACGTCAGTTACAGGGTGACCCAGGAGTTGGCAGCAGGGTCTGACCACAGACCCACAAACCCTTCTGGCCTCCTCCACCTGTGTGCAGCCCCGTGTGTGTGTGCAGAGCCCCAGCTGTCTCACTAGCTGTGTGAAAACCCTGGTTTTACAGTTGTTCTGTTTTCTCTGAGCTGTGGTACTATAGAAACCAAAAATTAAAGGAAGGAGGGGTGGGGGGGTAGGGGACAGGACAGGGCGGGGGAGGAAGAGAGGGAAAGGAGGGAGCGGGTGAGAAGGAAGAGCAAGGAAGGAGGTGTGGAGGCTTGAGAAGGAGACACAGGCCCACAAATCAGAAATATCTCTTCCCCATCAACCCCACGACAGCACTTTGATCACGTGTAAGGAAGGGATAAGGGACCTAACAAAGGTACCTAGGTTCTTGGCAAGTTCAGTCCCCACCCTCACCTGCAGCCACAGCTTGATGACAGTGAGCATGTGTCCACACATACCAGCCCACCCATCAGTCTGGCAGCCAGTAGGGATCCTAGAAGGCTGAGGAGAGTAAGTGTGTCTCATGAACTGGCAGGAGGCCTGGGTCCACAGGCAGTTCTTGAGGTCCTTGTTGGCCAGGAAGCCAACTGGGGCCAGTAGCAACCTAGACAAAACTCAGTGGCCTGAGAGTGATGAGGCATGGTGCAGACCTTGATGAAGGTTCAGGAGAGAGGCCCAGAGGCAGGAAGAGATGCACGATGGTTCAGAACACACGGCATACTGCTTCTCACCCACAACCTCATCCAAGTCTAGGAGGGCAGCATGAGCTCCTGGCCAAAGGCAGAGATCCTGTTGGTGGCACGTTGGCTGGCAACCCCAGAGCCATGGAACAATCAGTTTTGGCTGATGGCTAATACCAAGTGCATTAGCTTCATTCTGCAGTGGCAAGAGAAATGCCACAGATGGCATGCATGGCCAGGAGGAACACGAAGCTCAGCAAGTCACAGGCCCTGGAGGAGCAGAGCTTGAAGAGGCACCAGTCCTCTGGCTGGATGACTCATGAGCATTCCTGTTAAAAAAACAGGTGGGGAAGGCCAGAGCCAAGAACAGGGTCCAGACAATGTAGAAAAAGGCAGCAAACAATGGAAGCATGTCTGCTTAACGTATAAACAGTTGGGGTGAGATCACGTAACGTGTGACACTAATGTCAAAAAGCAAGAAAGCCAAGGGGAGACAAAAAAGAACATGATCGTAAATGCCATATTCTTGTAACTAAAGTCCAAAGGGAATACAGTGCAAGGAGGCTGACATGAAGAAAAGGCAGACAGCCAAACACGGGGGGTCAGCCAGGCACGGGTCCAGCAGGAGGTAGTAGGGAGAGGTGTGCAGATTCAGTTGGACTTGTTGTCTGCAGGCTCGGCGGTCTCCCCTGGCGGCCTTGCTGGAACTGGCTTGCCCTCCTTTCCTTTCTCCACCCGGGCCCCTTCGCTCATAAGGTAGTACTGCAGGGGATTGGGCCACAATTCCTCGTTGATTATCTCCACAATCTTGTCAGACTCGATGGAGCTGTGGTTTGAAAACCACCCGAAGAAGCTGCGGCTGTTGTCTGGGCTCCCCTGGCTTAGGGACTGGAGATCATGCCCCGGGAGCCACTGGATTGGAGTAGACCGGGACACCACCTGACCGGAGGGCCCACACCCGTACTCCTTGATGAGCACCTTATTCTGGAAGTAGGGGTTACGCCCAAAGTAGAACTTGATTTTGTAGCCCAGTCTGGCGAGGCCAAGCTCTTCCACCTCCAAGCTATTCAAGTAGCTGAGTACCTCTTTATCTTGGTTGTTCAGAAAGGACGAGAGCTGGGGATGGTTCTGGAAAGCCTGTCCCCAGAAGCCGGGGATATTCTGGATGAGGAGGTTCCTACGCTCTAAATGGTGCAGTCGCAACTGCCCAAACTTGCGTGAGAGCCGCAAGTAGGCCCTGTCCGCCTGGGCGTTCATGGTCTCCAGCTTCAGCTGGACATTCTCCAGCGTATCCATGCTGCCATCTGTAGCCGGGGGCCCCGACCCTGCCTCCTCCTCCGCCTTATTTTCCTCTACCACTGGAACGGAGGCAGCCTCCCCAGTGGTCCCCTTCTTAGGCTTCCCACCGGCTATGGCTGGAGATCCCCTCCCTACTGCGCTACAGGTATCTGGGGCCTTCTTCCCAGCGAGGCCACGCCGATTTCCAACGCGGGGGCCATTTTTCGGCCTTCCCACGGTCCCCACGGTCCCCACGAAGACAGTGTCTGTTACCAGGCGCTCCGAGAGGGATGTGGCCTTTCCTGGGCCGGGCCTGGTCGGGGCCTGCCCGCGATCCCCCGCAGCCCGGGCGCGGAGCGCGAGGCCACAGTCCAGGGGGAGCTGGCAGGCACTCTCTTCCCCAGGCCGGCGGGGCGGCGCGGGCGCAGCGGTTTCCAGGCCACCCCAACCCGCGCCAGCCTGCACCTGTGCCGCCTGGGTCTCCTCCCCGAGCCTCTGGCACTGTGGAGGGTCCGGGTCGCGTGGGGCGTCGTCAGGAGCGGCGCGGACTCGGCCTTTGGCACGGCCTTTGCCCCGGCTTTTGGCGCGGGAGGACTTTCTACCGCGACTTCGGCCGCTCATGGTGGTAGCGGACTCGACTTCAAAGCCACGCTGCGACCCTGCGGCCCCTGGCGTCGGCTCGCGGTCCCTACCAAGCGGGCCTCTCCATGGCAACCGCCGACGTCACGACTGCACGACTGTACCGTCGCGCGAGGACGGGCTGCGCCCGGTGATTGGCTCCGCCGCCGCAGCTGCGCACCAGCCGACCCTC